TTACTAATTTTCTGAATGCAATATTTTCAGAAACTTGTAACTGTAGTTACTTCAGTGTCAAAACTGCATTGCATTTTTGACATTCCAGTTAGAGCTCCGCACGCGGCAGGACCAACCCACGCGGCAGGACCAACCCGAAAGCCCGTGCCCGGCCGGGCCCAGGCCGGGTAGCACGAATCGTTTTCAGACACGGGCCGGGCTCGGGCAGGGTAAAGCCCACTGTCTAAATTTACGAGAAAAAAATGCTAACGCATTGATACTTCAAATTTGAAAGAAACGAAAAAAGCGGACTTCAAACTCGTTACAACACAAAAAAAAAAAAAAATTGCAGAAAAAAAAAAAAAGCTCTTTGGGAGTAAGAAGGCACACAAGAAGAAACGCAGAGGCATCCTTTACAGCGTCCTTTATGCACATTAGGCTAAACGAATCAAATGCACTAACACCTTCCCCGGGCCGCCTTGAATTTATGAGATTCTAGCGTCTTGGTTTGTTCCAGACTCGAAGTTAAACTGATCTGGAACAGTTGGTAAGAACACTAGCTTTTTATTTAGTTAAGATAGGACCGAAGACGAGGAGCAGTCTTCGTCGCCTTGTGCCGTTCTGTTGTGAATTGTCTCTGTGCAGTCTCTCTGATGACCTTGCCCCGTATTCTCTTATACCCTCGTACGTAGGGTTACCTCGTGGTGTCGTGAACTGGTGAAATCGCGGAGCAATATGGCAGTCAGATGAGAGAGCAGTATCCGCGGTGCGATGATGAGCCATCATGTTATTATCCAATGGTATGCAATCGGGATATTGCGCGGAACTAATACAAGCGTCCGGCGAGTTCCGCCGACGACGCGGCACGATCCGATGCTCTCAGGAGCCAATCGAGTCGAGAGGAGAAATGTTCTCTCGAGAGCCGCTGTATGTTGGTGCGTGCGTGACCACAAGATGAAACACGCCTTGGCCTCCCAGGCCGGTCCAGGACCTGGACTGATCAACTAGGCATTCCATCGGGCCGAGTCTGGGCCGGGCCTCATCAGGTAGGCATCCCATCTGGCCGGGTCCGATAAGACTAGGAGTCTGCGGGCCCGGTCCGGGCCGGGCCTCAAAAAGTAGGCCCGAGCAGTGCTCTAATTCCAGAACCTGGTCTTGATATTTATGACTGGTCCCTGCTTGTACTACAGAGTGAAGACGCGCTCGCCCCATGCGGCCTGCTTTGTGTTCTGCTTCGTGGAGAAAGCCTAGAAGTTTCCGAACACATGTTTGTCCAAGCAGAGCCAACGAAACTCTTTAAAGCGATCAATATCCTTGAAGGCCTAGCAGCTCTGATGGCAGCGTTCTGCATGTTCAATATCAAGTATGCTAAAGGATGTCTTAATACAGTATCTGGCATTGGAAGGTTGCTTTTCGGACAGAATGTAATGGAGCTAAGGCCTCCTGCCACCATGTTCATGAGCAAGTACTGTGATTGTGTATCACAAACGTTACTGCCAGTTTTTTTATAATAACAATATTAAAGCAAAGCTGACAGAGAGCGGGAAAAGAATGCTCTTTTCTTGTTCCCCTTCTCCCCTTCCTCGGGGATTATTATTCTCAGTGTCAGTTTAGCGGTTTTCTCTCTAACTTGAGCTGTGTTGAGATTTGTCTTGTCGGTAATATTTTTCTGCCGGCTTCGTGTTTCTTGAGGATTTTTTCAGTCATTTCGCTTATTTCTTGTGGTCTTTAATGTTGTATAGTATTCCTTTTTTCCTCGTGAATTAATTAATTTTTGTGGAAGGTAGAGCCGTAAGGTGGAGTCATATTTGATTACTCATAGCAAAATGAAGGGGACCCCTGTTACCACTGATTCCAGGGGCGTTCTCATACGTACGAACGTGATCCACATGTTTGGCAGAAAGTTACGTTTTGGAATAGTGGCATCTGGGTCGCCTGATGGTGCAAGTGACTTTCAGTAACCAAGTCACAAAGGTCTGAGTTCTATAGTCCCTTTTTTTCTGAAGTGGCCCTAGGACCCGAAACTTTGAAATGACTACAGGAAGTCACAAGTGATCTCAGACGACCCACAAACCGCTACTGCACAACAGAATTATCTGCAAAACATACGAATATCGTCGGCATGCTATGGCAGCACACCTAAAATCAGTAGTAACAGATGACTCGGATATGTATGGGAATCATCTTTTTGTGGACAGATGTAGTTTAACAAACATACAGTAAATCTGCAGGTGAGCTGGTGCCAGTTAATAATCTTGTTTAACAGCCGAGACTGTGGTGAGGAAAAAAAGACTTTCAAGTCAAAGAAAATACAGAGGGGAACGTCTCACTCGAAGAAAAAGAAACAGGAGGTGACATGGACGGCCAAAAAGCGTCACTGTGGTCAGCATTCATGATTTGCCAAACGCTATCTACGATGTCGTTATTGGGAATAATTTTAAGCTAGTGGGTGAGAAAACGTAATTATTAAAGGAATGGATACGTCGCGATCTCTTGATAATGAAATACTTTTGTTTTCAACGATGCAAATAAGAACAAAATCAGACTGTCAACTTTCACGGTATTATTTTAGGAAGGCTACAACTCCAAGCTTCTATCGCGCTTTTTTCACACATTATAGAACTTATACACTCTAAAAAAAGCCCGTGCGTCTCCTTTCCCGCACAACACTTGGAGACCCAATCATCGGAACGTACGGAGGCAGTTCAGCGAATGACGATGCCGAGGCATATGTTTAGACCAAAAAACGCAGTCTGAGTTGTGACATTAAGCAATGCAAAACGTCATGCTTGCATTGCTTAATGTCACAACTCAGACTACGTTTTTCGGTCTAAACATATGTTTCGGAAACGTCATTCGCTGAGCTGCCTCCGTAAGTTCCGGTGACTGGCTCTCCGAGTGTTGTGCGGGAAAGGAGACTCAAGAGCTTTTTTTAGAGTGTATAGCCCGCAACTGATAATGAGTAGCCAAGATGACAACTCGCGTCGTCACGGTGAGGCAAATCCTGGCGATGGCGTCACGAACAAAAACATACGAGCTTGCCACCGAAACATTTCGGAGCTAATAGGCTGTCGAAAAAAATAAGACATTTTTTTTTAAATTTATAGTGTTTATGGAATAATAAAATCAAGCGATTGCATTACAGTGTCATTAGTGCCTCTTTTAAATTTAGAGGCTTTTTATTGTTCAGTTTGCAACACTGATCATAAAAGTGTTTTATTAGAAAACCAATGGTTGGCTGTGATGATTGTGTAAAAAATATTACCGCGGGTTTGTTTCATTTGATTCACTCTTTTTGCACGCCTTTTTCGTGTAGTGCAACACATGTACTGTGGAACATTTACTGGATAAAATAACCTTGAGTTCCGCCCGATGATCTGGGCGCCCTTGACTGACTGACAAGCATGCACCTCGACAAAACAGGTTTTTTTTTTGTTTTGTTTTTTAGAGAAAAATGAAAGTATATGGATGGCGCTTTGAATGTTATTACTTTTATTTAGGGGATACACTTCTTTGTTGTGTCGACCTTTTTTTGAGTAAGCAAACACAAATAGACTTGTAAAGCAATTCATCTGCACATTACTGTTTTAATGTTACTTCTATTGTTAGAGCGCGCTCATACAATGGCGAACATTATAAGCGTCAGGTGTACCTCAAGTGATTTCCAAGGCTGTACGCCTTTCGACGACGACGACGCATCATTATCACTGCATGTATTTGCTTTATGAAAAAGTTGATTAAACAGAGAAATTTGTGACCCTATAAAGAAGCGACACAACATTGCTTCATTACGTGTGACGCTTCGGGTAAACCATTTATAAAGGTGTAGGGATTAAAAAATGAAAGCCGTTTACAACTCCCTGTAACGCCGAATTCGAGCGCATCTTTTGAGGAGGAGGAGAAGGGTACTGAGGGGAGCGTATACCCCTCCTTCCCACCTCATCCTCCCTGCTACTCCTCCCTCCCCCTCCTCCTTCTCGTCCCCTCCTCCCCCTCCTCCTTCCCTTCCCCTCCTCCTTCCTCTTTCCCCTCCTCCTCCTCCCCTCCTCTTCCTCCCCCTCCTCCTCCCCTCCCCGAAACGTCACGAGGGCGACGTTTCGGCACAGTGCCGAAACGTTACCGCGGTTACGCCGACGACGACGACGCTCAAGCCGGAAACAGGCGCCTAAAGGCCCGTTCACACTCTTGCGACCGAGTACGACTGAGAGAGACGAGATCTCTTACAACTTCTTAAATGTTTCTAGAATGAGGGAACACACTGACATTGTGGCGCCATCTATGCGGTGACCCTAGAACTGCATTTCACAAAAGCGAAGGTTTTGCGGGATTTCCGAGGTCTAATGTGCGTAATACCCATAGAAAGGCTCGTTTATAACATTGACAAAAGTTGTTCGAGCCAAAAAAGAAAGGATATTGCGCGAGAAATAAAAAAAAATATGCCGGACCGCCGAGTTTACACTGCTTCCCAATAGATGGCGCCAGTGTGTTCTCTGGTTTAAGAAGTTTTAAGGAACCCAGGTTTAAGAGGTCGCAAGCAGTCGCAAGAGTGTGAACGGGCCTTAAGGGCTGCGCTCTAAAATACATATACCGAAGGTGTACAACAAGCACTTGAAATTTGCTCGCAAATAGGTGTAAAGACCCGTTCACAATCTTGCAACCGAGTACGACCGGGAGAGACCAGACCGGTTTTTAAGCCTCTTGCGATCTCTTAGGACCAGCTCCGCGCTGCAGCGCATCCGGTCCTAAGAAGTCGCAAGAGGATTAAAAACCGGTCTTGTCTCTCTCGGTCGTACTTGGTTGCAAAAGTGTGAACGGGACTTAATGCTACAACACCCATAAAAAGGTGGGAGGTATAGACATTGGCTAAAGGTCCAGTTGCACCTATATAGGGGTTTCAAAGTTTACTGTGTAGGGTGACGCCGTTCCATGGAGGAGGAGGAGTTAGTTCACAGACCTTGATTATTCTAGGTGGTGTTTAGTGAAACCGATGCTAAGCAACTTGGAAGTGATTGGTGCTTTACCTTTGCCGTGTATGTTACCTGGAGTCCAGACAGTTCAAGATAGCAGAATATCGTCGTTGTTCCCCACACATCAAACGGCTGGCCGCAGGTTCCGAGACGGCTGGTCGCAACATCCAATCCCTTGACAGCACCCTCAGTGAGGTTCACCTTCAGGTCTCGAACCAAGCAGTCATCTGACAAAATCTTCAGATAAAAAAAGTGGTTTTCAAGTGTTATAGTTCGTAAGAAACAAAAAAAAAAATATAGTAAAAGTGTCTACACACAGTGCCCAGGAAGAATAAGTCTTCAACGACGCCTCTAAAAAGTTCATGAAAGAGATTAAGATGAAAACGTTCCTTCACATCAGAATACATGTCCAATACAATTTACGCCACATATTAAGCATTTCATCCACATTTTTGTAAATGCACTATATGTGGAAGTTTTTGACAATGTTACAAAAATATGCTGCATTTTTATTTGTGAAAACAATATGCATTCATTGTACTCAAGGATGATAGTCTCATAAATAACGCAATATCTTTCTAGAGCTAGGCGCGCCTCCATGCCACTACAGAGTCTCTTTATATAACGCGCCGCAGTTAAACATATTTTGCGTTGTTGAATGGTCCTTTTCCGCAAATGTTCGGTGCCATAAATTAGAAAATCATAAAGCGTTTTCGACGGTCTTCTGTAAAACCTTAATCAGCTATTGCGCCAGTAGTTTTGTTCTTGCAAACGAAAGCTGAGCGAAATTGCGGCGTGATGCAATTAAAACGGTGGGCTACCCCCGCCCCAGACGATCACTGGTGAGTTTTAGTATTGCGCATACAAGCGAACGGAATCACTGTCCGTTTGCGTTGCGTGTTTCGCACTTCGCGTGCGCGGAGTCCCAACGGCGGTTTCGGATTGGTGCATCGCGACGACGCGCATGCACAGCGTGGAGCACGCAAAGCTAATGCAAACGCACAGCACTCACGTTTGCTCATCTGCGCAATACTAAAAATCTCGACTGAGTGCCCACTGCAGAGCAAACTTCAAAACACCTATATAAGTGCAACCGGCCCTGCATTCAATGTCTATAACTCAAACCTTTTGATGTGTGTTGTTGTAGCATTATACCGTTTAGCGTGGAAATTTGAAGTTTTTCGCTACACCTTTTTTTATAGGTGATTTTAAATCCCTATGCTTTTATAACTGATGTGCCCGAAGCGTCACAGCTAATAAAGCCATATTGTCTCTCTTCCTTATAGGGCCATACATTTCTCTGTTGTATAAATTGCTTTAGAAAGTAAATACATACAGCCTCGGAAAGCACATGTGACACTTCCCATGTTTTTTTTTTTTTTTATTCAAAAAGTAATGTGCAGCTTGATTGATCTACAAGGCTGTTTATGTTTGCTTTCTAAAAAAACGTTTGATACAACATTACTGCTAGTGAAATAAAAATGGCATGCCTACTCGCCCGTTGATAATGTTTAATAAATATCACCCACGCAAGCAAGCGATTAAAAAATTTAAGCAATAAAACGACCGCTATGATCATCATTGTTCATGCTCGAAACTTGAAAACAGCTGCTGCCAAACACCTGAATTGTTTCGAAAATCCCCAGAACGTTTTGAGGAATGAAGCCAACACATAGCAGGCGGTAGGCAAATTGATAGCGTTGGAAAATATTTATTCCACCGATCGTTATGAAGGCCGATCATGCCGGTGCCGCAGTTTACAAGCACCGTCAGTTCAGCTCAACACTACGCTACAAAAAACGCTTTTAGGTACTGACAATGCTAACTCAATTTTACACTAGAAATAAGAATTGCATGAAAGAAGGAACTGGACAAACGCTTCATACGGTGGCGTAAATCACGAACATAGCAGCGATCTGACTTTCCTCGGTTAGGGATAGCTGCTTCGTCAACGAATGAAGAACATTTTAATAAAGTAAAGGATGGAAAATACTCCTTTTGACAAGTTTTCTAATCATAGTCACTGGTTGATGTCGTCCCGTGGTAATTTCTGGCCCTTCAAACGCACAAGCACTTTGTACATTTCCAGCGACGCCGCGCCGCACCGCACATGAACGAAGGAAAATAATCACGATGGCGGAGTGTTAACCCGTGTTGGCCCCGCCGTCAGCGCAGTGTGACAGGATGTTCTCCGACTGTCGGACAACAAATCGGCGAACACGGTTGCCGGGCGACAAAAATATATTTCCCGGCAGTTGCTGTTGCCTCAATGTGACAGGGTTGCCGAAAACATGGTTCCCTCGGGTTGATGGACAAAGTTGTCCAACTGTTTCCTCAATGTGACAGAGCCATTACGACTTCCGTTCGTTACGTCACGATCAGGATTTGCCTGTGACGTCACGAGTTGTAATCTTGGCTACTTATTATCACTTGCGAACTAAGTTCGATGGTGTGTGTAAAAAGCGCGATACAAGCTTGGAGTCATCGCATTCTTATAACGCCATGAAAGTTGACACTCTGACATTGTTCTTATTTCAGTCGATGAATGCACAATTATTCAAAGTAAAGAAATCATGGTGAGCGTTTGGCCAACCTTTGACCAAAGCGACGGGAGTAACTATCACCAGCTCGCCTGCACACTCCCCGTCTTTTTGTTAGACTATATCTGTTCACTGAAAGATGTCCCCTGCTTCATCACGAATTTGTGTAAGCAAAACAAATCCGAGTGATCTGTTACTGCTGATTCTAGGTGTGCTGCCATATGTACTATCCAGACGTTATCCGTATATTTTTGACATAATTATGTTCTGCAGCAGTGGTATCTGGATCGTCTGATAAGACTTGTGACTTCCAGTAGACATGTGTCAATGTGCGGTCTTAAAAAAACCAAAAAACTGTGTTTGTGGTTTACGAATTGCGATAGCATTGGTCATGAAACTCACGACGCAGCTCACTGTAAATACGACGAGGCAAATTTTGAGTAAACACTGTATTTTATGAAGGGTTTACGACACAATCGTTAACATTAGCTCGACTGCAGCGCGCCACTTCGGAATTCAGTGGTTGCTTCGACTCTGTATAATCATTTAATATTTTGTTTCCGTATAATCGTTTAATGATCAAGCTGTTTTCCCCCCATCATTGCAGCTGCGTGTGTGTGTCTTGTCCTGTCTCTGTGTAATCGTTTAATGTTCAAGCTGTTTCACCACCATCATTGACCATGGTCAAAGTACACTCCGTCTCACCGTATACGATGGACTAGGGCCGGAAGGCGGGCGGGTGGAGAACTACCTCAGAAAAGCCTGCATCCGCATTGCAAAAGAGTGCGCGAGAGAAATTGTGAGACGCAGAGTACGAAGAGCACTAATCTTACGCATATGATTATCTGTTGTGATGGCGCGCTATTTTCTATTTGTGAAGTAAAGGTACAAGGTATTTAGTTTCATTAACATTCATGCCATATTGACGCGTGCTTGGCCGAGTGGCCACCCACCCGACTCGCACGGAGAGGCGCCAGGTTCGATTCCTGAGGGCCCCGCAACTTTTATTATTGTGTTGTAATAATACTTTCTACAACGTCCGAGAAGTTTCTCGTTCAGAATGTTCGAAGGCCGAACATTCTAGTTCGAATGTTCGCGAAAACCGTACGTCTACAAAAGGCGCTCCGTCGTGGCTCTACAACGTCAGTTCTACGCCGGCACTCGGTCCTTCTCTACTACGCCGACATCTACGCTCGCCTACGACGCCTGTTATTATTCTTATATTGTTCCGGGCACAGTTTCGCCCATTAAACGTTTAGTTTCCTTCAGTTATCCGTCGCCTCATCAATTGTCATTCGTGACATTTTGATGGAGATGCGGGGTATGGTATTCGGGAAGCGTACTCCTCCGAGAACCCGTTCAGCAAGCCCCATTTGAGCGCGAACGTCTGTTGACGGACCCGAGTTTCGTGCCAGCCGCCGACTTCAGTACCAAGCTCCTGAGTTTGGGCTACTTCCGGGAATGACAGTTGCAGACAAAACCGACGACGGCCACGCCAACGACGCAGTCCACAGCAGCATCTACCGCCGTTTACGTTCCCCTCACCCCCCGGACACTGGCTCCCTTCCACGGTGAAAGCTACGAAGACGTCGAGGACTGAGTCCAGCCATTCGAACGAGTGGCCCGCCATAACGGGTGGACACCGGAGCAGTGTTCTCAGAATGTTTACTTCGCCTTGGGGGCAACAGCGCGGAACTGGTTTCAGAACCACGAAACAACGACCACCTCCTGGGACCAATTCAAGGCTCAGCTCCGAAGAACATTCACCAACCAACGGCGAAGAGAACGCGCTGAAGAGCTTCTTCAAGCTTGGGTTTAAGGCCTTAACGAGAGCGTCGTTCGCTATGTTGAAGATGTTCTTTGACTCAGCAACCGCGCGGATCCTGATACCCCCGAAGCAGAGAAGCTCGAGGTTCTAATGCGAGGCGTGAAGGACATTAAACCATCTTCGGCGCATTTCGTGCGGAACCCGATTACGACAATCTAGGGTTTAATCACAGAAGCCAACAACATCGAGCGTGCTCTTCTCGCCAGAGGCTACCGGGCGGCAGTGTGGTTCTGCAGTCCCCTTCCAACCTTGCCTACAGTATTCCAGGCATACATCAGTCCATCCGCGACGTCTTCCGGGAGGAGCTTAAAAAGCTTCTCCCGAGTGCCGAGTGCCCGGCCTCAATCTCTACTGCCGAGGTTGTTCGAGACGAGATTCAGCAAGCGTTCCTACCAGATGGCCCTGTCACCGTGGCCGCACCCGAAGAGCCGACGCTGACCAACGCCGGAATGGCCCGACGACTGCCGCCAGCTGGTCAACGTTACCCGGTGGCGCCACGACGGGACTCAACAAAGCAGGCGTACCCCCGACGCCACGACGAACGACATCAGTACGACCGCCGAGACCAACCAGCGCCAATGGAGACCGACGTAAGGAGGACAGCGGATCGACGACCCATCTGCTATCACTGCGGTGAAGCCGACAAAATTTACCGTCGATGCCCCTACGACAACTGGGGCTGCTCGGGTGCCGCCCGAACGACCCGTGCCCAAAGTACGGCGAACGCCCTCACGACATCGAGGAGCTCCTCCGACGTTCGCCATCCTCAGCGCCGCCTCCCCGCCGCTAATCATGCTCACCATCGCCAAAACGCTCAGCGTCTCCAGCGCCACAATCCTGCCGAGAAAGCCTAGCTCCCCTGCGTTGCGGGGAGAACTAACTGCGGCAACACCTGGAGGTGGCGCTGCCGAAGACGCCCGAAGTATAAAGAGCCTCCAAGAACGCCGGAGCGCTCCGTGACATATTAAGCTTCCGGCTCAGCAACACTTCCTTTGATTTCCTTCTCCCAAGACTCTGACTGACGGAGCGCTCCCACTCTCCCCTCGCCATGCATCACAATGACGCTTCTGCAACGGTGCCCAACAGCCTAAACGTTGTTATCGACGGATAGTGACAACACCATGGAATGGCCCGCAAATACGAACCGCCGGAGTCCACCTGATAACGCCGATCGGAAGGGACACTGCTCGCGTCGAAATCCACGGCGAGACCTGTCCTGTGAATTGCGTCGTTCTACAAGACCGTGCCAGAGACGTCATTCCTGGTATAGACATTTTGTGCGAATACGGCGCCCTCATCGACCTCGGAGAGAACAGATTAACGCTTCGAGCACCAGCTCCGCCTTCAGAGAATCCCCAAATGTCAATCGCTGTCCGAGCAGCTGCCGACCATGTGAACCTGCTGCCACGATGAAATGTTGTACCTGTCGTTGCGGGCGCAGCTACTTGCGGCGAAGTTGTTCTCGAAGGCAACGTTCAATTGCTCCTGGTAAGATAAATAGGCATCGCCAGAGGAGTAACTGAATTTCAGGAAGGGCGCACTGTGGTCCTCGCAACGAACTTTGAACAGGAAACGCAACAGTTCACGAGAGGTGTCGCTGTGGGACACGTCGAGGAACTCCTGAACTCCGCGGAAATTGCCGCGATTATACTGAAGAGTCCTCGTTACCTCAACAAGACCGTACGCCGCCAGCACAGCTCGACACTGGACCCAAGCTTCCGTGTCCGAAATGACGGCAGCTGATTAAACTCCTCGCCGAATATAGCGACTGCTTTGCGACGTCGTCGAAGGTGCGCCAAACCGCTGTTGCGAAGAACTGCATCGTTACCGAGGGCGACGAGCTCCCTGTGCTTCGATCACCGTACAGAGACTCCGTGAGAGAAAGAGTGGTAATCCAGGAGCAAGTTAAAGAGATACTTTCCCCTCTACCTTTATCCCTTCTTGATAGTGATAGCGATGTGATGTCTCAACTAACAATAATTTTTGTTGCACTCGCCGCTAATATAAATGAAAACCCGAGGTGGATTTTTAATAAACATTATTTGCGAGTGCACCCTGTTTTCGCCTCCTTCCTTTATGTCCTTTGAGGTTTCGGCGCTTTGAACGTGATATGATGTTGTGCATCATCTCCCTCCCCCTTTTGTTTTTGTTGGATTTCCGTCCTTTCCCTCACTTCGATCGCCAATCCTCCCCCAAATTCCCCCAAAACAAGTCACATACACAGAGCTCAGTACGACTCCGGTCTATTGTTTAAGAAAAATTTTACCCAGCAAATTAAAAAAAAAAAAAATGTTGTCAGGCGAATTTATATTCTCCTGGAAAGGTTTAATATTTCCTGAACACATTTCCAAAGCCGCCAAAAGGTGTAACAACACCTTTCTCGTACGCCCAGTAGGTGTATGAAAAACATGACGCCTATTGTAAAGAAGTTAACAAACATCTTTGAGGAGGTGTATTCGGTATGAAACACCTGGTAAATACCCTTATACGAGTTTTGAAGTTTACTCTGCACCATCTGCGCACAGGCAACCTTAGAAAAGGCCCATTGTTTTATTAGCATCCTTGATTGTGTTTCAGGGGGCAGGTATGGGTGCATTTAACTACGAGCATCTCATCTCTCAGCAGCCATGGTCGTGGCGTTAGCCGATAACGGAGAACGGATGACGAGGCAAGAAGTGTGGCCATATTAAAGCCACGCCTTGACTTTCTTCAGCTCTCGGCGACCATCCGGTTACCTCGAAGCTGTGGGTGTGAATCAACGTCTCGGGGTAGAGGGAAGGATTGTGTCTGATGAGGCCTGGTAGATGCACCTCGAGCACAGTGTCCATAAAGAAGTTGGAGTCGCTGACGGTCGCCCCCTTGCCTAGGAACAAACCACAAAACGAGAGAGCATTACCCTTAGCTTTATAATGAAAAGAAGGTACAGTATGCATGAACGAAGCTGGCAGTTCAAACACGTAAGTAATTAAAACAAAATCCTTCGAAACAATTATTGATGTGGTTATTCGCATACACGGAACTCTTCTTATGTTATTACTAACCACGTCCAATGGTCAGCTTGCGAATGCATTTATTTTATTTAAGCTAATTGTTCCATATAAAGGCTTTACTTACCGAGGTTTTTTTTTAAATTTTGTTTCTATTAATACAGATGTTTGACGCCAAAGATGGTAAAATTACTGAATTTTCGCAAAAGTTTTTGCAATTTCTGAATTTTGTGATTTTGAAACCACAGCTAGCTGATTTGCCTCTACAGGCATCACTTAGTCTACCTACAAATGATTCCAATTAAAATTAATATTATATTAGGCTTCACCCTCGCACACTTGCCCACTGTCTTGTGTTTTTTCTAAGAGATTTATGTTCGTAAAGGGCGTCGACTGATGAAAACTAAAATTTATTTTGGAAGCTGAAAGGCGCCGGACCGATTTACGATGCTTTTAAGTGAATGAGGAAATTAAAAAAAAAAAAAAGAAAGGAACTGCCGCTTGTTTTGTCTTCGTTTAAAGCGCGCCACCTATTACACTTGAGTGAACTCTCTCTCACATTAGTCTCTAGGCCACGTTTGTACAATTCCATTTGTAATCTCGGGAACTGTCTCCGGAAGCCCGAATCTATGCGTTGACAGCAATGTTTTTTTTTTATGTGCGAAGCTCCTTAGGGTCTAGCCTTGTCCGTCCGTCCGTCCGTGCTCACAAAAGAAGAAAAAAAAAATGTTTGCGCAATCGACAGGATTCGAACCTGTGCGGGGAGACCCCAATGAATTTTCTAGTCCATCGCCTTAACCACTCGGCCACGACTGCGGGACGAGTAGGGGGCTCTGAGATGTGGTAGTAACTCAAGAGCTGGGGATGTCATGGATGAAGCGTTGCATGTAGCCGCTCAACGTCTATACTGGAGAGGGCGCTGCGGTAAAATGCGTATATAATCGTGTTAAACTTTTGAATTCATGGCTCTGCATTTCTCCGACCCTAAAGCAGTAATAATGAAGTCAAAACGCAACCCGGAACTCAGCACTAGCAATAAAAAAAAAAAAATGAGCACCATCAGCACTACCTATGAACAATAAAATCTGTATCATCAGCACCACCAGAGCTTCGCTCCAATCAGCATCATTCAGCACGTGGAGATGCGGTTATTTTTTTAACCTTTTCCATATTTTTTATGTATCTATAGCGCTACAACCTGCCTCGTCTCTTTGTGGCAGCTTGTTCAAGGCAGCACCAGTTTTGAATGGATTTCCAATGTATTGCAATCAAAGCTGGCGTCTTCAAATCGCTTATTATTTGGCTACATATAAAACCACATACCTGGAAACGTTTTGTTAAAAACCGAAACTCTGGCGTTGAATTCTTCGTTCTCTTCAAAACTTCATTCGTACAGTAAAACAATCACGTGTCCGATTTGGCTTTGTTCAGGCAGTTTTTTCCTCTAAGCCTACGTGTCCCGACGTTTGCAGCATTGTATTCTGCGTTCGAAACCAAGAACCTAAATCTTGACTAACCAAATACGGATGAAAGGATGGATGGATGCTAACGGCTGTACGCTTTATATCGGGCGGCAACTTGCGCCACCTAGCCTAGACGTACGTCATTCAAGTCTCCCTAGATAATTTCCAGCAGACTTCCAATCTTCTCTTTGTTATAAAAATGCACTTATCAGACATTCTTCCACTCTCGACCGCAAACCCCAACGCTTCGGCCAAATGGGGAAGGGGGGGGGGGGGGGGGGGGGGTGTAAGCCCTGTGCACTTGCTAAAAAAAGTAATTAAGTTAAGTTGCAGAGTATAAGCGTCAAAAGTAATTTGAGAAGAGTAGAAATTACTCCAATGAAAAGTAATTGAGTAAATTACTAACTACCGTAAAAAAGTAGCGAATTACTTTTGAAGTTATTTTTTTTTTTTTTTTTTTATGCTAACAAGGAAGTACGTACATAGGTTTTGAATCCGTTAGCGAAATTCTACTAGCCGAATATAACGCGGCTTGTGTTTTCACAGAAATGCTTTAAGAGCTGGTTCTGCTTCTGCATGCCTAATTGTTTTGTACTTCTTTTTCTTTATGGTCATTGATGTACTGCGGATGTGTACTTTCTCTTTTGAGGGTTTAGCACTGCATGGAACTTGATTTTGCAGACAGTGTTTGCTTGTTAACAGTGTTGTGTAAAGTACGTCTAAAACTACTTGGAAGTACAAAGTAAGTGAGAGGGTATGCACTTGAAGTAAAGTAGCAAGTAGACCGGGTGCAATGTACTCGGTGTAAAATACTGTAAATACAATGTACTTTCAAAGTAAAGTAAAAGTTCTTTTTAACACAATATTTCAAAACGCCCTTTCATACCCTATAGAAAGCTTCTTTTTTTTTATTTGGTATGCAATATTCAAAAGAAAATCGGAGGTGCATCAGTTTTTTTTTTGTTTTTTTTTCTTTTTTCGGAAATGGCGCAAATAACGTAAGCCGCCACAGAGTAATTGTTTTATTCTCGCTAACGAACTATTTAACACGATAAACTTATAAGGCACTTATTTGAATCGGTATTATAGCCGACATTACTTTACTCAGAGAAAAGACCAGATGACATATCGAAAGACAGCACAAACTATACAGGAGCACCAGATGAGCTTCAAAGCGGGTGCTGCATTTCGTTACCTCCTTTGAGTAAGGATGCAGTGTGTACACTTCCTATAGTGGGCGAGAGTTTCTACACTGGGGAGAAGCGGGGACCAGCCCTTTCTTCAAATGCCTCAAGTCTCCTTGAGCTTCGGGACAAAAAGAAACGCGAGTCTTCGGCGCTAATCCCGCAGTTACTCGGCCGCTCTTGAGTCGTGTCTGTTTGCTCCCCGCGCCCCGTAGCAGAGTTGTTGCAGTGTAGTGCTAGTGAAAAGTTTGGGGGGTTTGGGATTCTCCAAACTACTTTCTCTCCCCCCCCCCCCCCCTTTTTTGCCTACGTCACATGCTTCCCCCTATTTGCAAATATCAGCTGATCCTCCAACCTCTTATCCCTTTTTGTGCAGGAATGTTTGTTTATACGCAAACCTACCACCAAAATTTTAAAGTAATTTGTAATTTTAGTAGAAGTTACTCGAAAAAAGTAATTAAACTACTAATTACCGAAATCAAAATGTAATTCAAAGTTACTAAACTACTCAGAAAAGTGTTAAACTACAGTAACTTGAGTATAGTAGTTAAACTGCGTACATGTCTGATCCTCAACACCCCATGTTCTATAATCTCGTCTTCCCCTTGGCATACGGCACACCGGGTATCGATTTTCTCATACTTTGTCCTATATGTCCTAATCAATACTCCTGTTCTAGCCTCGGTTAGCAACGAGCTCCCCGGTGAATTATCATACCATTGTTGTTTCCTTATTTCCTGCTTTTGTCCCTTATACATAGTTAAAGCTGATTTTCCCTGCATTCTTTCCTGCCACATCTTTCTCTCGGCTTCTTTTACTACCTTTCTCACAGAGGTAGTCTGTTCTGCCCCTGCACTTGACTGTTGGTATTTCAATTATAGTTTTCGGGTTCGGTTTGTCCATTTCGTCTTCAAGCTTTTCACGTACAGATGCTTATATACCTTGCTCGCCTATCGTGTATCCTCGGTTGTGCCCAGTCTTTGCTCAAACTTCCACTTACTGATCGCCTCTCTAGTTTCGAATGATGTCGAGCCCATGTCTCCCTGCACTCCTAAGGTGGCTGCCAGGACCAAAGTTATGAACCTCAACATTTTCCCAAAGGTGCTTGAGTATACCTAAAGGAAATAGGAAACGTTAACAAGAGGATGAAAACACATGCTATTAAAAATTTTGAACTGTTCGGGCAGGAAAATGTGAAAATCTAGAACATAAAAAAGTCGGATACCGCAAAAAATAACTGTAGACATTACAGACACATCCAATGAGAACTTCATAACAGATTATTAACACCTTTCAACCGCGCAAGATCTGGCAGCGAACTTTATCTTCCTCATTTTCAAGCAAAAAATGCGGTAGTTAGGAGCGATGGTTTCAATTGTTTGGAAGGCATTAAACAGTCATTCCGGGAGCGAAGAACCTATAGCAAGGAGGCGAGCTGGTTAGGAAACATATTTGAAAGAAAGCGTGAGACTGGGATTATGTGTCGTGCTGTCGTTTTTTTGTGTTTTTTTTTGTCCCAATCTTAGGTTTTCTTTCAAAGCACTTACATGAACGAAAAAATAGTCAGAGTGCATGCGAGCTGGTGTAAGTTGAACATGATTGTAAACCTGAGACTGGGGCAGAAAGAGAACAGAACAGAAGGTAGTAAAAGAGGAGGCAACGGGCAGAAAGAGAACACAACAGAAGGTAGTAAAAGAGGAGGCAACGGGCAGAAAGAGAACACAACAGAAGGTAGTAAAAGAGGAGGCAACGTCTCAATTGAGACGTTGCCTCCTCTTTTACTACCTTCTGTTGTGTTCTCTTTCTGCCCCAGTCTCAGGTTTACCAACATTCAAATATACCCGCGATTTTCAGTGGCGTGACTTCAGGGGAAGAAGCTTGCAGGTCGAGCGGAAAGTAAAAAAATGGATTGTGCCAAGCATTTGTTTCACGCTGCTGCGCGGGTGCTGGACCGACCTTCCATGACATTCATTTGACACCATGAAACTGCTTGTCATCAATTTGGAACAAAGCCTACAGTCCAAAGAGTGAACCCCCGCCTTCCCCTGACGTCACATTTTCATTGTTGCCAGTAGACACTTTCACTTTGAAAAACGCAGTGAGGACCAAAATTCGTAAATTCAGGAACTTCGCGCGAAAAAAAGGACATTTAGGTTCAATACATGGGTTACTGTTTCGGTGATGATTGTTGATGTAACAAATTTTCAGGCAAATCGGGGACTAAGAGGAAAATGCCGAAGTACCCCTTTAAAATGCATTTAACTTTTTGAAAAAGCAAGGTACGTTTACCGAAAACGTTTTTCATGCTTTTTTTTTAATGCGCAGCAAAGACTGACAAACCATTAAAATACTTGAACGTTGTGGATAATTACGCTACAGAGGTCGAACTGCATCTAAGGTGCAACAACACTTCTTGGACTCTGTAGAAAGTAAATTTTTGCTAGACAATGCGACCTATAACCATGGTATTTTATTGTCTACCATGCCGTAATTGATTAAAAAAATGCTGGCCGGCACTATACGTGTTTTAATAAAGACCGACAGGGGGGAAATTTGAATACATGAAAGCGGAGCCTGCAGCGTCGAGCACGCTTTTCTTCATGATTGCGCTGAATTTTTCGACAAGTGCGACTATTTCACACGAACTATCGTTGTATCGTATTCGCTTGTAGTTGGGAAACAAAACCTACTGAGATGAGACGACTGGGTTTGCTAACCTTTTACTCAATCTACTAAAGGTCACTGTCGTTCTCGAGAGCTATGAAAGACTGGCTAGTCTGTTTGAATTTTTTTGTTGTTTTAATTATTGCATTTGATCCTGACATTGTAAATACAAAACCAAAATATGACCGTCATCGGGTCTCATATTATGTTTAAGTTTTTTTTTTTAATGAATTATGGCATACTGAATTAATATGTATAATGTTGGTGCGCGCCTCCGGTTGTGGAACAGTAATAATAGATCTCCTAGGCTTTCTTGCGTGCATTAGCTGACCGCTTAACTATACCCCAAACTTTTTTTTCTGAGTTCCTAAATACAGCATGCATGCAATGCAGACATGCACGATACTCATTAATCTGACTACTCGATTACATTTGGGAGTAATTTTGTAGCCATTTCAATACATTTACTAGTAATCGGATTACTTTTGCGAGTGCTAAAATTTCCTGTTACTATTTCCCCTCCCTTTCCTAATGGCGCCCTTTGTTTGAACAAGTTTCTCCCCAAGAAATCCTCCAACAAAGTCTCCGACCGGAGAATGGTCTACCAAAATTACTGGATTAAAGGGCCCCTGAAAAGAAAAAAAAAAAAAACTGTTTTTGAAGCAGTCTGGATGGGACACGTGTGTCGAAAAATAAATTTTACGCCAAAAAAAAAAAAATTGTTTTCGAGCAATATTGACGGCGATATTTATTTTAAATTCTGCGCGAAAAGTCCATGACGTCACGGAATGGTCATTCGCTCAACGAGATGGTCATTCGCTCCTTCCACCTCAACGGGAAGGCCAAGCCTTTACAGCTCTCCTCCACGCGCCCGAAATGCCGAGAGAGAAAACAAGCGGAAAGGAGCTGACTACTGACAAAATCGTGTCTCGCGACGTCAATATTGCTTCTTTCTTTTTTTCTTGTGTATTTTTTTGACACGCGTTTTTAAGTTATATTGTTTAAAAAAAACTGTTTTTGTTTTCTTTTTAGGGGCCTTTTGAAGGCCGACGTACACTTCGCGCTTTCCACTT